TCTTACCTTCTGCAGCCATCTTTCCTAGTGTGTCACACCTCTTTTGTGGAATTTAATTTCGCAAATTTAATAAAAATCGAAATTCGCGAAATTTATTACCAGTGAAATATAATCCCTATACGGTATTATTATGATTAATTATTTGTATATATTCATTGAATGAGCCACGCCTTTTATTTACTTGTTTCCATTCTTTTTTCTTAAATTAATAAATTGCATTCTGTGGTTAGGTTAATTATATTCATGCTAATCACGTGCGCATAAATTAAAATGGCGTCAAACCACAAACCCACGCGGTGTCTACAGCTGGATTCTGTCTTCCATTTTGTTCTCTGTCCTCGCTTCTTTTTGAAGCCACCTTTGTGGTCCTTGACCCAAGCCCAGAAGAATGATGTAAAAGGCAACTTGAGCGGTTCTCTAGTTTAAAAGATTATCCGGTGCATAGAAGAAAGATGAAAGAAGAAGAAGAAAAAGTCTGAAGAATTTTGCAGAAATTTGAATTTGGGCCTATTCTCCAGAATTGCTCCCGCTACATTACAGTCCACTTTAAAGGTACCAGGAGAATCGCTCAGTGAAGGAGAACTCATCTAAGCCATTTATAAGGCTGTACAACGTAAGATAAAAGAGTTATAAGTGTTTGAAAATCATAAAAACGGCCGCCATCTTGAAAAACCAACCTCAATCCTACATATAGGCTAACGCCTATATAATAATCTACACCAAGAGTTCATTATTTATAGTAAATTATATTCCCCATTCTCACATGGTCTCCATGAAGATGAGTTATAAATATTTTCGTGATCCTTCCAGGACGAACTGTACTTCTCATTAACTGGGTCTGACTACCCTCACCACAATCAAACAACCAGCAACCACCCACCTCTGAGTTGAAGGGAAAGGAAATAAGAATAGTGGGTGGAGGTGTGTGAGTGAAACCATAGATCTATGGGGAACACATAAGTACAAAAGAGGCTATTTTTACCAGATCTTAATGCAATACAGGAGGCTCCACGTACTGGTGAAGGATATGCAGATCCTGTACCAAGAAATATTAGCTCAATAGCCATTGATAATTTCAGAATCCCTGCTCTCATCGGCTTTCATCAACACTAGATCTACACGCCCAAGAGTTGGAACATGGACCAGTCCTGATACAGGCCTGAATCATTACTGATGATCGAGCCTGGACCGTGGATTTGGGGCAATGTCCTGATCCGATATTGACGAATCAGCCACGATTTATGCTGGTGCCAGACCTGATCCGACAACGATAACGATATTCATTAAGCCTCATTATGACGTACGTCCTGTTATGCTTAATTAATACTTAATTATTATTCATTATTAATTTAAAATGATTTGGAATTATTATTAAAACCAAAAAAAGATTATAATTGTTTTCTTCATCATAGTCTACCAATGTTCCACAAGTAAAACACTTCATGTTTTGTAACTTAAGACACCTAAAGAGCCATAAATTAAGAAGGCACTAAAATAATAAACTTACATTACTGAGAAATTAATTTCCCAAAATCTCCCAACATTAATGAACTCTGGGGTTCCATGTAGTGAAGCAGATCTTTCAAAGGTATCTTGTAACACATAGTCCTACAAAGCTTAGATCCATAACATAACTATAATGAGGCATAAATTCTACATAAGCAAAGGAACTACATACCTTCCTTAACCAGCATGATGAAGGCAGGTTCACAAAAAAAATCAATGCTATTTGAAGTGAACTATAATGACAAATGATGATAATAAATTAAAACACTATGATTAAACTGACCTTAACAAGAGCTTTAAACAAGAAAGTTTCAGTTCATCACAACCTGAATAATGAATTTAGCTTTTCACATGAAATTAAACAAACCTAAGATATTCTTGTCTTGAAACTTAGTGAGATAAGGTAACTATAGAATGTATACTAGTGGCCTTGCTAAATTAATAAATTAATATGAATTAAAGGAGCACCTACTATACTAATATTTCCAGAATAATCTTTCGTATCAAAAATTCTAAGGAAAAGTAACAATTACACACATAATCAATAAACTATTTTACCACACTTGTGACTATCATTCATAAGTCTCTCAGTACAATATCTTCATCATCATGATCACTAATACATTCACCCTAATTAAAAACATAGTTACAATCACATGTAGTGAACCATTTTTACGCCTGATTTCTCATCGTCTTCACTAGTGTCATGATTATTGCAGAAAGGTCTTCTGGCTCTGTTTCAATGTTTGGCTCAATACTAGAAAGTTAACGGAGAATCCATAATGAAAGGTATGTACTTCTAATTATAGTCAATTAAACTGAAGTCATTAATCTCACAATAATAATTAGCCTAAATTTATTATAAGTTTGTTCATGCAGTTTATACCCCTTTGATAATTCCTCATAAACCCAGGTCTCTACTTTCGTATCATAGAGATTTTGTAGGCAAGATGTGGTAAACTTTAATTGGAAGTTGTCAGTCGTTTTATTTTCCAGTCATGTATCTGCTCAATTAATTTATTTAGCTTGATTGTGTATCTACATGTGCCTACTTTTTACTCAAAATATCGTGTATCCTACTCATGTTTAAGTAATAAACTGAATGGTTCAAAATAGCCTAAAAATAGTATTATAACATTTAATGTAGTCCACGGTACTCACATAACATCCAGTGATTTAGCCCTAGTGTATACAGCCAACGAGATTTCTCTTAAAGAGTCAGATTAAGATGATTTTCTTTAACAAAACATGTCAGGTAGTCCACGCGGGGCTGCCATCTTGAAAAGCATCGATCTGATCCAGTACTGATATACAGCCTGGACCAGTGCTGACGAACAGACATTACTGTATCAGCTATGACTACATCGGGACTGAAATAGATACTGGTCCAGGCCAGAGCAACAGCCTCGATTCAGCAGTGATGGCCGTCGATGCTGGACCGTTATAGAATCAAACCTGGTCCAGGCCTGATACCCATCATTCACGGATCATGCATGGTAACTCTTGGGTGTGTAGTGATAGTGCTTGTATATCTCCGGTCACTGCATAATTTCCCCGTATACTAGTTAGTATCCGGAGGGTCGGAATAGCCCCAGTAGGGTCGGAATAGCCCCAAGAACTAGGTCAGTGAAAGTACTGCTTTCATCCAAAGTTGAAGCTGAATTTTGCTGATTTCAAGAAAGTACAAATAGAATAGACAAAACAGAACTCATTGATGAATAAAATAAATGAAATAAAGCAAAAAAGAGTGAGTTATGACTTCGTGAATATTTAATTATATCATAGTGCAGAAACGGGTCGGAATAGCCCCGAGTTACTCTACTATACAGACCAATACAATACAATTAATAGCAATAAAATTAAACTAAATACGCAGTTACGCACCACTAGCCTCGGAGTGCCGGACTGAGTAGTCTTAAGCCCACCATCCACTATTCAACTTTGTTGAAAGCAACTTTGTGGTTACTTTGATGTCCTGTCAACTCTGTTGCCTGAAATAGAACTGAGTTCTATTTCAGGCAACAGAGTTAGTGCCATAAGATCAAAGTAACCACAAAGTTGCTTTCAACAAAGTTGAATAGTGGATGGTGGGCTTAAGTCAAGTGGATAATACCTGAAGTTTCAGAAGTCAAAAGCATAAGGTTACCGGTTCGTATTCCGCTCTGGGCTGAAGTTTTTTATTATATATATATATATATATATATTTTTTTAGGTCCAAATACCATTTTAGGAAATAGATGCCCGGGATTTTATTTAAGGAAATACGGTAAATTCCCAGTAACTAACAAGCTGTAATAACAAGAATAATGTACTCCGGATTTCACTGGACTTTCTTCTTTTTTTTGTCTCTCCTACTTCAAAAAATAAATGGTAACTTGAGATGATGTAGTAAAAAAGTAACCCACTTACTAATAATTATCATTATAATAGGGAACTGGACAACAGAGACACTGGTGACTACAGTACCACCAAGTATAGAAATAAACTATAAGTCCATTAAAATAATTTCAAATTATATTTTATAGCTACAAGTGGACTCTCCACTGCAGGCCTCATTGGGATTACAGTAGGTATTGGAGGAACTATCTTTCTAACATTGTTGGTACTAGCTCTACTAATAGTTGGAGTAGTCATTATAGTTTGTAAAAAACATGAAAATGGTAAGCCTAAGACACATTTAAATCTACTCCCAAAAACACTTGTATTATTATTCCTAGGAACTGACAATGCGGCTGATACTCTAATAGAATCAGTTGGTCCATCAATAAATATGATATTATCATTTAGTGTGAAAGAGAATGTAGCCTATGGTAAAACAGCTGTTGATAGTACCATACACATATCGGATAATGTTGCTTATGCTCAAACAGAAAGTGCTACTCAATCAACAAAGGAAATAAATTCATCTGCTGCTTATGATACTGTTTGCAATTTTCAAGTATAGATAATATTGTACTAATTATTCTTTAAAAAAATAAGCATAATTCTTTGCAATGTGAAGCATAAAGGAATGAGTAGCATGTTTAGGAGAAACATGTACCAATAAAGAGATCAATAATTTACTAATCATGCATGACAATTGACATTGCTTGATATTGTATTCATCTTCTACTCAATCATTTTGTCATTCATTTAATTTAATACAAAGAATAAAAACATTAACATGAATTATCATTATTGATGATCAGTGTCAGACATTAATTGAATCAACCACATCATGATGAAAATTAGCAGGTCCCGATAAAAGTATGATAGGAGTGGGAGTTCAACTTCTACCATGTACTAAAATAAACAAATAGTTTACTTAGCAACAGTTAGCAACAGCAATGCATTCTCATGGTTACTTTTAACTTCTAACTCTAATATCTATATAGCAAGGCTGCAAAAGTAGTGGCAGCCATTTTTGGGGGGGGGGGGTGAATCCTACTTAGTAACGCTACCGCATTACTAATGGTGGATACCGGAAGTCAGCCGCCCACGCAGCAATTATGATTAAAAGCAGGAGCAACCAATAGTAACTACATTTTTAACGACCTGGGGGCGTAGCCCCCAGGTCGTTCCTATAATCATAGATATTATAGACTACGTAACCGGGATTGGAAACTAGGATTCCATGGTGGACAACGTCCGTGATTGAATTGGGCGATAAATAGAATAAATTTGACAATGTGGCTTGCTTTTCATGCGGAAATAATGAATTTTTGGTTTTAAAGCAGTACTGTAGTCAAATACAATGCATGAATTAAAATGCTAACCCCCCAATTCCATGCACACAATATCACCCTATCATCACCCAAAAGGAGAAACCTCTGCTTGTTTTGTAAAAGCTGTAATAGGTACGACAGTGGACTGTTCGCAGAAACAGTATTTCAGATATTACTCCTCTCACATAGCAAATCAGTAAATGAAACTATGACAGTTCCATGCACAATGATTGTGGCAACATTTCCAATGATCTTGATAGTCTATTTTTACTCGTGTGATGGAGCAACAGGTACAAAAAGTTTTGAAAATTTGCAAGCAACAGAAATTTGAACAACATCACAGTATATTTGCAAAATAACAATGGTATCATTATTTTTTTCATTATAGTCATGTTACACAAACACTAAAGTATTGAAATATTATTAAAATAACAAAATATCAACATTGGTTTAAATACAGTCTTCCTTTGAATGTCGTCGATGAGTAGCCATTTTTTGACCACACCCACCAAAATCCAATCACGGACCCTGTGTCAGCCGGTTTGTACTGGTTTGAATGGATCACGTGACCTAGTTTCCAATCCCGGTTACGTAGTCTATAATATCTATGCTATAATTGAATTCACCGTCGCGCTATCTATATATGTGACCTTAGAATCATAGGCGGCTGCAGGGTCGGGCATTTAGGGGCAATGCCCGACCAAAAATTCTGACCGGAAGTGTGACATCACCATAATTAATAGTTATTCTATGGTTAATTAATAGTTAATAACAGTTATTGCAATTATAATTTCAATTTTTTATGAAAATCTTATAATTATGAATGCATAAATGGCAGGCTGATAACAAGGTGATGAAGAGAGACTAAATAAAGGAGGAGCTCGAGGTGGTAAGACTTTGGTGCCAATCACAGTGGGCCACCACAGCAACACTAGAAAGCATAATCATTTCATTATTTAGTGCTATTTCAGTGTTCTTTTCTTGTCAGTTGCAAT